CAGAAAGTGAGCCCATTTGCAGAGAAATCAAATGAAATAACGGAGCGCATTGCACGCTTAATATACTGTCGTTGGATGCGTTAATCTGCCCATAATATGAGTAGGTCGGCACTTTTACTGCGTTCATTACCAGCCGTGCAGAGATAAGGGAGATGTGCATTTTGCTCTGTGTGTTGCCTGTAACTCAACATCTCTTGGGATGCCAGGTCCGGAGATTACTGCATGGGCTGCGAAAATTAATGGAGCTTGCAAAATGACTAGGAGGTGATTGTAAGATGTGTTTTCTGCCTTTAGAAAATAAAAATAAACATTTATATGTGGGGAGAGGGTCGCGTTGCGGTTAGCGCTGCATTATGACCCTGGCGACCCGAATTCGATTTGCGCTCAGTCAACACCAGTGATGATTATCTGAACCTGTGCTGGGCCTCCCCTAGGTCGACTCAGACTCAAATGAGTACCCGGTGTGGTGTGTAAACATCGCCCCTAGGAAGACAAATATACACACACATGCCACATGGATGTAGCATGTGTGTGTATATTACGCACGTAAGAGAAAACATAAATAAATAACGGGCCCATGTTTCACCTTTTCGAGCAGAGAGGGCAGATAGACAGATTGACCCACTTATAGCTTGTGCAATTGTTACCAACTCAATTCCTAACTTTTGTGTTGATGTGCCGAAGGCACGCTAGCAGGAGGTCACGGCACAGATACAGGTGCCATGGGTCGACTGACTGAATCGACTGGCAGATGCACCACCTGTGCTCCTACTGTGCCAATTGCTGTGCTTTAGTTTCCCGGCGCTCCGCTCTTTGTGAGCGTTGCTTCTCCGCTCTTCATTGTTGCTGGAAGGTGACCTCCCAGTAGCGCCCTTCACACACTTTCTCCGCAGAGGCCGATCTTAACACCGCTAGTGCCAGTCTTCGGCAAGTTCACTCAGCTCCACATCATCCTTTGCTGCAGTAGCAGCTCATCTCTGCTCTAGCCGGTGCCGCGCTAGTTTAGCCCACTTTACCTGGCAAAAAGAAGCAGTTTGGGCATGCAGTGACTTGGCATGCGGGCTACATGCCCCAGCCAATGCAGCCTCGCCTGCCGGAGAAGCTTACATAAATGTGCACACGAACACACACCATTTACATACATACATGCACACACATTCGCTAGTGCATTTGACTTAAATGCATTTATTCTTTGAAATGCAATTGGTGGTTAATTATTATTTTTGTCATGTTTCTATGATGGTATGCACTTACCCATTAATTAAACGTTAAGGGCCAGATTGACATTTTGGCGAATGTTTGTTATTTCCGTCCTATTTTTTGTGTCACAAATGTCCCCATGGGCCGCATCATCATTAATGAGAATAATTGCCACGGCGATGTGTTTTTAGCCACTTCGTTAACATGTCAATCTGGCCACAAAAGAACCACTCTTCACAAATTATGATCAATTACGCATTACGAACGTGAAAGAGATGATGGGGCATGTTTCTTAAATCTCACCCAGCAGAATGCCGCGGTGGCGAAATGTTAACTACCGCGCCTGGTCTACAAGAGGTCGTGGGTTCGATCCCGATGCCTGTATATTTGGAGTTTGCATGTTCTCCCCGTGGCCGCGTGGATTTTTCTCCGGGTCCTCTGGTTTTTTCCCTCCACATTTTTCAATCGACATTTGTTTAGAGTATTTGGCTGCTATACATTTCCACGCGAAACGCCGAATTGTTGTGCATATCATTTATGGTCAGATCACTTCTGAAAAATAGCTAGAGAGCTCAGTGGGAGTTACTTGGTAAAATAAAAAATTGTTGAGTTTAGTATCATTTAGTAAACCGCATAGGTTTTTGCTGTTATTATTATTCACTTCTGAAAAAGACCTATAGAGCTCAGTGGGAGTTACTTGGTAAAATAAAAAATTGTTGAGTTTAGTATCATTTAGTAAACCGCATAGGTTTTTGCTGTTATTATTATTCACTTCTGAAAAATACCTATAGAGCTCAGTGGGAATTACTTGGTAAAATAAAAAAAATAGTTGAGTTTAGTATCATTTAGTAAACCGCGTAGGTTTTTGCTGTTATTATTATTCACCTCGTTGCCCAGACAATCCTCACCGAGTCTCAACTTTTTGCCATGAAGTCCCCTTCCAATTTTTTTTCACAGCAGGGGGGGGGGCATTTTACTGCTATGCGCAATCCCTATCGCGTAATCTTTAGGTAAAATTTTTCAGCATTGCGATGTTTGGCCAAAGTTTTCGAGTGCTGTGTGAGAATGAGGTTTGGTTTTGTGTTTCGCAAAACGACATCACCGACCGAGGGACCCCAGCGAAAATTGGACCTTTGCCACAACCATGATCAATTTCCTGATAACGTTTCAGGCTCGAGGCATGGATTTATGTAATGCACAATGCAAGATGTGTGTAAGGTTTGATTTATATATATATATACATTTAGATGGTATTCTGTCTGAGATAGTGGTTACAGATATACATTGATTATATCATAATTATCTTATTCATACCAAGTCTTGTGCTGACAGCCGTTTGGCTGTGGGAGCTATCTGGGTTTGACAAGGTGCCGGTTTTTCGTCTGAAACTCAGACATCAAAGACACGTGGTCAAATAGTAAAGTTTCCTTTCCGACCGCCTCCGCAGTAAGCTACTTGCAACAACATTCTGGGAAAAAATTTAAAGGTGCAGCCCCGCAATCACCTGCTCACGCCACTGCTGGCAGAAGGGTATCTTACATGAGAGAGCTCTCGAGAGGGTATTTCCCCCTGTTCTATGCTGACCAGGCGTCTTGGAAGAGATCGGCGTACCCACACTTTAGCTCACCGCACGCGACCTGCCCGATCAACTAACTGTGGTGGTATCCATTTATACGGCTGGGTGATCAGAGGCAGCGGCGGGAGATTGAACCGGCGAGCTCTGGATTGCAAGGGCGGTGTGCTCACCTTTTACTCATTTCTTCAGAAATGTTTGTTGTTGCGTCTAGTTTGTTGTTTTTCCCCCGCACCTCGGATTGGCACGTTTGGCTACGTACGGTGCGAAAGAAGTTAAACGTACACACACACACGCCAGCAGCAGCAGTAACTGCGCATACTATGCATAGTGCATAGGACGTAGTCTGCAGCAGCACGCTCTGATGGAAATATATTAAAAGAGGCGCGTTGCTCATCATGCATCCCTGCGCAAAGCTAAACTTTTCGTGATTTACGCACACGCGTTCGGCCCGTGTCCTCAAAACACCTTGTGCTCACCGTGTCGAGGAGACGACTTTTTTTTTCCCCGCTTTTATTTCACACGAAGCTATTGGCCTCCGCCGCCGCACGCGAGCTTGTGACACTTTATTAAGCGGGACCGGCAAGAGCCGGCGGAGAGGCGACATCAGCCTCCTAAATTACAGCCACGAACCCGCAAAGCGGCAGGCTCGACGAGCCAGAACGTACATCACGTTGCTGTTGTGAATCATGGCGTAATTATTTTAAAAGCCCGATAAGAGGCTAGCCACAGCATGTGTTCTAAAAAGAAAAAAGCCCCCCCCCTCCCCTCTTATTATTACGATTATTGAATTAGGCAAATGTGACATTCTGTGTAAACCTTATCCCTCACTTGGCAAAATGTCTCTGGCATTTTGCTCACCTCTTGAAAAATAATGAAGGGGCGCCGCTTTTGGACGCTCCGTACAAGAAGCGCACGTAAACCGGTTGAGAGGAAGTCGCTTGGACGTGCGGATTATTATGTAACGCTTTGCAGCATGTGTTCGGCTTTGAAAGTATTAATGAAGCCGACTGGATTTAGCTGTCAGGGCACCAATGTATTAGCACATTGGCAAATTATCCTCGTTTTTGCTCCGGATTGTGTCTCCGAGTTTTCAGCAACCTTCTGATCAATTTGGTTTTTTTTCAACGGTGCTTAGTGGCCTAATTGCAACACGACTTTACACTCAAGTTTTGTTCGCAGTCGATCACGTTTATGAGAGTTATCGTCTCGTGTTACGGGATGGATTAAGCTTATGCATTAACGCTTTCAGCCTTTGATGGCAAGTAGTAAAAACCCACTGACACTCATCATAGAATAGAACGGTTCCATTAGAAAAAACACAGAGAGAAAGATGCATGATAGATTAACAGGGATAACGGTAGGGTTGCCACCTGAACTGGTTGTCCCAGAATTATCCTCTTGTTGTTGTAGCCGCTGCCCTTTGAAATGTGTGAGCTTTTCTGGGACAAAGACTCAATTTTGCAAGTTATGTTCTCATAAAACATACAAAGACAAAGATCCTCCGTTTAGCCCCAACAAGTTCTTGGGGCCCTTAGCAATCACCTTTGAAGGCTGGCACGGCACACGAGGGGGGTTGGTTTCTTGGTCAGCCGACCCGGCTAGGTGAAGCATGGTCAAACGACTCCCCCGTACGGAGGCCTGGCCTTTATTGTGCAGCAGTGGGGGTTTATTCAACGCGAAAACAATTATCATTATTTTTCTTTTTCTCATTATAAGGCGGTGAAACAACGAATGCGAATCAGGCGAGCGTGCCAGTCCGGATAAGTAAATGGTTAACAATTACTGTGCAGGTGTCAGCGGTCGGGTTGTAACAACCCCTGTCGTTGTTCACTGCGATGTCCGACGTTTCGCTCCGAGTGCTGGGGTGAGGGGGATCCGAAGTGCGGCAAACCCGCGTACGGTGCAGCGTGAAAAGCGCGCTGAAGGGATGTGCGTCGCGCAAGCAACAGCCGCGAACGCCGACGCGGTCACGAGATCTCGGACTAATCACAAACTACTGTCGTTGTTGTTGTTGTTGTTGTGGTCGTCGTTGTTGTTGTGGTTGTGTGCGTCTCGGTAGAAAATGTTGATGCGTCGTCAGGCCTTTGCCACTCTCAGCCCTCCTTGCACGGCCATTTTAACCCTCGTCTCATGCCGCTGCGGATCATTCTAATTCACCTTATATCGGTTATTTATTGTTATTATGTGTGTGTGTTTTTTCCCCTCCCTCCTCCTCTTCCTCCAGAAAGCTGACCTGGCTGTTGCACCCCTCACCATTAACTACATGCGGGAGAAGGCCATCGATTTCTCCAAGCCATTTATGACGCTGGGAATCAGCATTTTGTACCGCAAGCCCAACGGAACCAACCCAGGAATATTTTCATTTCTCAATCCCCTCTCACCCGACATCTGGATGTATATTCTGTTGGCTTACTTGGGCGTCAGTTGTGTGCTGTTTGTCATTGCAAGGTAATTCTATTCAAACAATTTTAAGTGTTTTTTTTCTTCTTTCTTCTGCATGCACACTATTTTAAGTTGTCGGCAGACTCAACGTTTATTCATTTTGACACACACATATTTAGAGGTCACCAAGTGTGCACTCAAAGTCATCAGATCTCAGAAGCTACGCACGGTTTGAACCTGGATAGTGCTTGGATGGGCGATCACCATGGATACATAGGCGGCTGTGTAGCTAAGTGGTTGGGCAGTATCAGGGCAGTGCAGCACAATCCATCGTTGTACTATACTTCTATGCTCCCACTTCTATCATTCCCTCTGCTTTCTCCAATCCCGCACTGACCAGCGCGGTGAAATGTGGTAAAATAATCCCAACCATCCGCAAGACATGGGGAGGCCTTCATCCAGCAGTGGATTGGAAAAAAGGGACTGTACATAAATAAAGGTATTTTCCAACTTGGTTCGGTAAATAATGAACACAGCTGCAGTAAAGGTTTATCTGTATGGCTTTAGGTAGAGTCGTTTCTGATGAATACTCACTAAACCTTGAAACTAGGCTATTTGAACATCTGTCAGACCATCAATCAGTATTTATTGAGGCAGATGATGAGCACCCATTGATGTCCATTATATTTTATGTAATTGACATCTGGATGATGACAGTTATTTGAGGTCAAATGTTATCGCTGTTATTATTTATTTCTGAGTAATTTTCAAATGCAGGCTTTGGACTATGGCTCACATTAAGCAATAGATGCCCACACATCGATCTTGCATTCATGATGCGGTTCAAGCTTGCACAGCTGTAGAATAACATTAGGTGGTACATATATGTTTTAATTAAATGTATATATATATTTTTTTATTAAATGTCACCGATAGTTCAGAATAATAAGAGTGGGAGCCAAGGAATGGAATGCATCCGATAGGACGCCCAACTCGGAGATGGAGCAATGAAATCAGTTCATGCTCTCTCCTTCACTTCGTTGAGCTATCATTTGTTGCCATGTCGCTTCTGAAGAAAAGCCATATAGCTCAGCCGGCCTTACCTGGTAAAGTAAAAAATAGCTTAAATGGTTTTAGTAGTTTAACGTGCAGATGATAGGTGGATTAGCTCATCACACAATCGTGAGCGATGGCCGCAGCTTGAGGTTTTCATCCAACAGTGAATTGACCATGGCTGATGATAATACTAATGATGATGACGAGAGAAAATGCACTATATATAGTATGCCATAAACACCTTTCAGGCGACAGTACAGACAGCTTTGAAAGCCTATTAGTCGTTTTTTGAGCTTCCAACGCACAGGCATTTCATTTTAAAACCACGATGCAGCTTCAGAGCAATTGAACAAAGCCCTGTGATTCTCAAGGGGTTTATGAAAACTGCATGTCTATTTATCAATCAACGGGGATGTAACGATTCACCTTACTGAGCAATGCGTTGTCAGTGTTCAGAATAATGATTTGCTCTGCTCTTCTTTTGTCAATGTCACGTGGGGGGGGGGGGGGGGGGTGTAGAATGTGCAGCGGTAGGAATCTATGAACTCTATACTGGTGCAATGCTTTATATATATATTTCATGGATTGGAAATAGAATCATCGAATATTTGGTGGAGGCAGTGGTGCAGTTGTTTGCACCCCTGCGCTATGAATCTGGCGACCGGAGTTCTTTTACTGACCACGGCTTACATCGGTGGCGAGTTAACATGCCGGACATAGTCCCCGCTTCATCAGTCCACACTGACCAGTGTGGTGAAGTATGGTGGTGATATAACCCTTGTAACTGACGTTGCATGCAGGTGCCTTCATCTGGCAGCAGATTGACCATGGCTGCTGATGATGATAATTGTCATCATATGCATATGTAAACCACCAGTCACTTGAAGAGATCTCAGAAATAGCTCTGTGAGATCCACTTCCATTGGCCATTCTCCAAGACGAAGTGTTGCATCGCCCTGCTAGAGATCCAAAAATCGGGATAAATTGGGGGGGGGTCATTAATTTTTATTTTGCAAAAAAAAGCACTTTTCACTAGATACATTATATAAACGTGTTTGCAACAGAGGGCTATACTCACGCTAAAACGCAGCAATTGCGAGATCAAGAATTTATTTTATACGAGGAGTTGACCAATCGTTACATCCCCTATCAGGGGCGTCTTCACCATTGGCCAGGCACTCAAGTCTGCAAAATCGAGGTTTCATTTTGGTCCCTAAAGCAACATTTTAGACTCGCAAGTTGGTCCCGTGCGCTCGTTGGGGTCTCAGCCAGAATGGGCTGTGCGTTGAGCTATGGTCTAGTGCGGTCACACGTGTTTATGTTCACTGGAGTAGAGTTGAGCCAGAACAGCATTACACCATTGGGCTTTTTTTTTTTTTGCCTCGATGCCATAATGACAGGACATTGTGTAGAGCGAAGCCCCCTTCGAAAATTGTTACCACGAGCAACTTGAGAACATTTTAACCTTGATCCTCATGTGCCATCATCATAATGATTATTCACAAGGTGACATCTGTTGGGTCAAGTCCTACCGGCGCGGAGAAATTGTACTTATTTAATGTAGTTAAAACTATCATAAAATTGCCCTTATTTAATGTAGTTAAAACTATCATAAAAGTGCTGAAATATCAATTAAAATGCTGCACCAAGTGGGTAATGTGGTTTTTATATAGAAATTTGAATATTCATTCCAATTTCTTTTGGCAGTTTCTTGTGGATGACAGATTCTTTATATATTGCAGGACATTATTATTCCGCATAATGTGCCACTATATTTGCTAAATCATTACTCGGCATATTGTGTCGCTATATTTGCTATTGCTGAAACAAATTAGATGAGGTCAACAGGCATGTAAAAATCACGTTAAACTGCAAGGCATTCTCATAGGGTCTGAAATGCAGATTTTTGTCTTCTCAATTATCCGCTGTGATTTAATGCCAATTTCAGACGTAATTTAAATTACCTTTCAAGATATCTCAATTTATTAAAATAATGTAAAATGCCGTTTTAGGTATTTAAACTTTTAACTCCTTAAAACATTGCCACGTAAATTAATCAGTGGTGAATGTAAGTGACTTTTCATAATCTGGTTAATTACATTTTTACGAGATAACTTAAAATTGTTGGGACACCTTGACAAGAGCTGTAGTTACATTGAAACGTTTTCATATTCTCTTTAAAATAAGTACGAGGCTTTTTCTGAATCGCACATCGAACAGCCTAGCGTGTAGAATTTAGTCACTTTGTGTGCAGTCATTTCACTCATCAGAGACCTACCCAGTAACCATGGAATGTTGGGCCAACATTGGTGCATGTTTGACTGGGTAACGCTCCTTTAAATTACTCTTGTAGGCATCAGTCTCAAATGTAATTCAGCTTTGTAACCAACCATAGGAACGTGGAATTTCCAACACCAGAAATGCAGTTATGGAGCTGATCGCTGCCCACCTCATTTCAACAGGGATACGATTTGACTCGCCCCCCCCCCCACACACACTTTAGTTTATCATCATTATTTATCATAACGCCACCTCTGTAATTTCCTTGCACCTACAGCAATTTGCATTTAACAGCACTCAATAATGCAATTCCATTCATTCAAGACACCCTCTGCAAAAAAAACAACCAGCAGTCTTCCAGCATGGCTTAGCCCTGCATGCCCTACTGACGTCACGTGCCCAAAGGATTGTGCCTGCGGTGTTTGTAGGCTGTGCCCCATCCCGGGGCCTGCACAGCACGGCTTTGTTTGACGGTTTAGCAGCCAGTGGCGACTTGTCATTAGGGGCAAATGGGGGCCGGTTCCCCACTAGTGAAATAAATAAATAAAAGTTTAACTATTAATTAATAGCACAAGGTAACACAATATTTGTTCCTGGGTAGTAAGTGTTATTTCGTAATTGCCCATTGGCAATTACGAAATAATACTAACTACCCAGGAACAAAAAAAAGTATTTACACAGTGTAATAATATTTAACAGGCGATGTTTTTGGTCTATGGTCATTCTTCAAAGCAGAGATATCAAACAAACGGTCATTGGCCAACACTTCACCTGTTGCAGATTTCATTTTGACAAATGAGTTGAATTTTTGGTGACATGTGCTTGTGCAGCACCGGTCAACACGGTAACCATTTTAGTGTGCGTTATAAAGATTATGAACTGTATACCATTCCTCCCATTCTTAGCCTCCCCCTTTCCCCACCCAAACCTCCCCCATGGCCCCACACACCAGCGGGCTTCCATTGCCCCTTATATATATTTCACTCACTAGCCGCCACTGGTTAGTTTAAGCAAACCAGTGTCGAATTAGAAGTCCGCTCGACCGTGAGACTTTCAGCAGTGACGTGTTGATGACGACTTTTCTCAGTACGTGTTGTTTTGAGGTTGGGAGTGATTGCGGTTTTTGCTGGCATGGCTTAACCTTAGGGAGCTCAGCATCCAGTCACATGTTTACGTCCACCGGCCGGTTTTAAATGATCCCACCACTATCGCCGTAGCCTTGCCAATACTGCAGAGCAAATCTACACGTTTACCTGCGTACTGTCCAAGTTGCGAGATTAGCTCACCGTCCATGTTATTATTACTTCTTAATTTGCTGAAACGATGTAGCAACATGGACACCTAGGGTAGACTATCGCCGTCCGTGAAACATAACACCTTCACGGTAGCCTCGTGCTATAAAAATGCGGCAAAAATGCAGTAAAAAGCTAAATTTACGAAATTATACATTTTGATTCATGCTGGCAGATTAAAGCATTGAAAGTCTCCTGCCATTCTGATCATAGGTGCTGACGCTGTAATTATCGCTGCGGCTCTAAAGTACTGATTGCCACCCTTGTCGCAGAAAGCTTGGAATTAGAATTTTTAAAACATTCTGCCTCTACATATGCTGCCACACCGCAGACATGTCTGCTGTACAGCAATACTTTGGCCTGCATGGCTGTGAGCTCACCAAATTGATTTCATAATTATTTAAAATGTGAGATCGCGTACAGCAGCATAAATGGATGTCGTGGATTGAAGCTGATGACTTCCAATATTATTACAGTTGTGAATCATTCACAGTCATTAGAAGGTTTGTAAGTTAAACACACCTGATGAGGAGATACCTCGGGCACTCAAATCTGTGGCTCAATACGATGAGAACCACTTTTTGGGAGCTCCACATTGACCATCCAATGAGGTGACTCACCCCTGCCATGTGGTCACCTGCCTGCTATTGACTGTCCCCATCTGCGTGTAGCGTGTGTGATGCATAGCCAGGGAAGCATCTCGCCTGATGCGCGGCCGGCCGGCTCACGACACACAGTCACCCGCCAAGGTTTGCGCCGTAGGATTGGGCTTTAAGCTTGAGTGGGTTCCGTGCTGGTGGCGGACTGGAGGCTGAGTCCCCCCCCGGTGAGAGAGTTTGGCGGAGAATCCGTGCAGCCATGCCAGATCCAAAAACCGCGAATAGCTGTTGGTCTTGTAACGGCAACTGCATGCAAACTGTGGCCCAAGTTGGAACAGAACATACGTCCAATTTTTTTTTCTCTCTCAAGTTCAAAATCACAGTGCATCATGAATGTGTGAGTATTATCATCGTTAATGTTTTTTTTGAACCCCGCGAGAATTCGGTAAGTGACATGTTTAATTTCATTTGTTTGTGACACGGCATTGTGCTTTTGTTTTATTATGTTTTGTTTGTGTATACATGCTGTTTTTTTTTTTGCACAGCCATCCTAGATACTGTGGCATTCAGCCATTGAATTTTGATTTTGCTCGCTGATAATATGAATTGTGTTTGTGGGAGAAAGAAAATAATAATCAAAAAATGTAATTGTACTGGTAATACTGAGCAAAATCACTTACAAAACTTAAATGCACAAGGGATGGGAATTGCGACGCAATGGTCCGTGTACTGCCCCAATGAACCTCGCGTCCCGAATTCGATTCCTGGTCAAGTCCAGCATCCGTGGGGGAGCGATATCTCAACCGGTCATCGCCTTTCCCCTTTCACCAACCCACGCTGACCAGCGTGGTGAGATATGGTCGAAACGACCCCTCTCCCCGCGATAAACGTGGCGTGACGCGGCCTTCATCCAGCAGTAAATTGACACCACACTGGCAATTATTGTTCGCACATAAGATGGTCACTTAAATTTTCCAGCTCAACATCATGAACATAATCATTAACACATCAACACACGTTTGCACACGGGCGAGTGCATTTGTGACTGTGCATGCTGGCAGGGATGTGCATGCATAACATCACGGCACGTCCGTGCATAAATATCGAGTGCGTTCAGTGTTAATGCAATACACGCGTGACGACATCCATGGGCGAGTGTGCACATGAATGCGTGCACGTGTGCGTGCGTGCGCGTGCCATTGTGCGTGTGCGTGCGTGGGGAGCGGACGTGCGGTGATTTGTGCGCTGCACTAAGAACCCAGTGACCCGAGTTCCATTCAAGCTCGCTGGCAACACCAGTGACGATTATCTGAACCAGTCTTGGGCTTCTGCTGGTTCGACTTGGCCTCAAATAAGTACCTGGTGTGATGTGTAACTATCGTAACGAGAGAGAGACAAAGGCGGCCGGGCCTGGTACTAGCCACCCATCTCGTGTGCCATTCCAGCCTTAATTGGTGCTTGCTGACAACACCTGCCCCAACAGCCTATTAGAGGCTATATAGTGCATCTTTGTCTTCGGTGTGTGGTTTTGTAGTGGGGAGCGCACTGCACAATACAAACCGGGCTGCCCAAGTTCGATTCCCGCTCGTTGCCAACATCAGTGATGATTAAACCCCAGGTCAAATCAGCCTTTAAATGAGCACATGGTGTGGTGTATAAAACATCGGTACTGGGAGAGACAAAGGCGGCCGGGCGTGGTACTTGGACAGAACCAACCCAGTCAGCGCGAGCCAAATTTGCTTGGGTACAACTGGGATATCCTGGAATCGTTGTGTGCATGCGTGCATGTCTGCATGCATGCATGCATCCTATGGGCTGTTGAACATTTCCCTTCACATCTCTGTTAACTGTAGGTGTCCTGCATGTGGCCTTGGGCGGCAATGGTGCAGCAACCGAAGCGTGCATTTTTTTGTCCGTGCGTGTGTTCGTCGATGCGTGCGTGCCTCATCGAGTGAGCTTGCGTGTGTGTGCGTCTGTGCCTACGTGAGCGGTCCGTGTAGCGGTGAGCACGCTGCGCTACGAACCCGGCGACCCGTCTTCGAATCTCGATCACGACCAATAACAGTGGCGAATATTTGATCCGGTCCTGGGCCTCGCCTAGGTCGACTCAGCCTGAAATGAGTACCTGATGCGGTTTGTAAGCATCATCGCCACTAGGGAGACAAAGGCGGTCCATAGGTGCTCACTAACACCACTTGCCCCAACAGTCTGTTGCGGCTATACGGGCGATCTTTGTCTTTGTTGTGTGGCCCTCTCAGCGAGCCCTCTCTGCTCCATCTCATTCTGATTTGTCATTTTATTTGATTATTTTCTCTTCGGTTGTGTGCTCAATCCTAGCTTGACTCTAGTCTTTTAGGAAACTACCTTTTTCCTCGGCCTACTAATGTGTCATGATCCAGATGACTTTATTGTGCAACCCCCCAAAAAGCTCTCCCTATTTAAATCGCTAATGGCAATTTTTTTTTGCTGTTGGCGCCTAAAAATATCTATATTTGACGAATTTATTCATGGACAAGATCGTAAATGCACACACAAAACACCGTGTCTTTCTTTAGCAATCAAAAAATAACATTCACATTTAGAATTGGGCATGCACGACGGTGTGAAATAACAGGAATGGTAGAGAAGGTGATGTTATGTTAATGCCACAATGTAAACGGCCATTACCAAACTGTCAAAATAATTTGGTGCAATTTTGGAGAGAGCTGAAAAAAATATTCCGTGCTCTTAAAAAAGTATTGGGAAGGGACCTCAAAAGTTAAACAAAAATAATCATCACATTTGTGTTAATAACAAAATATTTCCCTTATGAATAAAAAAGGGTGAATGTTATGGTTTTATTTTCTCAAGAATGTGTACAGTTATTTGCATGACATTATTTCCATTATTTATATATATAGCCAGGTGTTTTATTTCCCAATAATCTGCGCAAAAAAACTCATTGCTCAGACAGTGCACATTGTTTCATATTTGCAAATTCTGAAATTAATTACTTTGATAGGAACACAAGGTGTCACTTGTAGGAGGCATCTCATCGTTATTCTTTTGCAAACGCAAATTATTTCTGTGGGCACTCCAGTTTTCCCCCCGCACAAAATAACACGTGGAAATAAACATACCGATTAATAGAATTGTCCAAACATTCAAAGCAGGACCCTCCTGGTAAATAGCGAACAATGTTATTGCCTGCGCGTGCTAATGCGTCCATCGCAGTTAATCAATCAGCAGGTTTGCGTGCGGTGGGGTAAAGTGTGGGTGCTCTCACGTGTTCCCAAGACCTTCTGGCCAGCGTGGAATAGTAGGCCAAATACTCTCCAGAGGGGCTCTGGAGTTCGCTGAAGTGGAGGCCCTTCCACTAGCTGTAGCTTAAGCCAAACACAGTCCATAATAATGGTCGCAGACACGTACGTGTTACATTTTAGACATTGCAGGTTTTTACCTTTTTGTACTTGTTACTTGACAAAAAATAACTGTTAGGAGCTTGTTTAAATAAACGACGCCACCACAATGCTTGCACGGTAATACCTCCGGCAACACACACACACAAGAAGAACACGACAATCTCAACTGCAAGTCATTCCAGGGCTACCTGCAACGTTGTGCCTCTCTGCCTTTACCACGTAGACTCACCGCCCCCGCATTAAACGACTACAACCATCCAGGAGGTCAACTCGGCCTTCGACGAGTATACGCTGTGTTGATTGTGGTGCTTGTCCTCCCCCCCATCCTTTACACGAGGATTTGCAGGGCTGCACTGTTACCGTTACCTCCGCGTTGATTATTCTCAGTGGGGCTATGATTTGGGTGAGGGTTGAAGTTGATGCTGCTGCTAGGCACGTGCGTGCGAGCGCACGGCGAGGAGGCGTGGCGCAGCGGTTAGCGCACCGCGCTTTGAACCCAGCGAGCCGAGTTCGATTCCCTGCTCACGGGCAACATCGGTGGCGGGTATCTGAACCGGTGCTGGGACTCCTCCCCTAGGTCGACTCAACCTTAAATAAGTACCTGGTGTGGTGTGTAAGCATTGGCACCGGGGGCCACAAGAGGCGGCCGGGAGTGGTGCTGGCCAACCACCCCCTCGTGTGCGACAGTGCTGGCCTTCATAGGTAGTGCTGCCCGCTAACGGCACTTGCCCCAACAGTCAGTTCGAGGCTACGTGGATGGGGAGATCTTTGTCTTTGTGCGCGTTATGCTTGGGCTGCGTCTGCTTGGCCGCTCACTTGTGCACCTCGCCCAGGTTCAGTCCGTACGAGTGGTACAACCCCCACCCGTGCAACCCGGACTCGGACGTGGTGGAGAATAACTTCACGATGCTCAACAGCTTCTGGTTCGGAGTGGGAGCCCTCATGCAGCAAGGTACGGATGAAGGGACGAGTGAGCGAGCGAGCGAGTAAGCAGCGGGCAAGGCCGTCAACGGTGGCCGTGTCACCTTCGTGTGGACGCTGTCTTGTTCTTTTAACGACAGAAAGCAACGAATACAATTTTACATTCAGGTGGTGTTCACGTTGATCAATCACATTGGTCAATCGATGTGAACACCACCTGGATGTGATCAATGTGAACACATTGATCAACCGGTGCGACGTTTTATGCCTCTCTCCATTGGTGACAGCTTCCTGAGCCATTTGTCTCTGAGCAAATCACCCGAAATGTGGCCAAGAGTGATATTTCCTATCCTTGAACTTCTGTGCATCATTCTTAATGTCCTTGTGGTCTGGTCATCTATGTACCTAAATCTCTATATATGTACACCTCTGTTATCTACCTGTCCACTGTCTTTCCACAAGTAGAGTTTTATTTGAATGTTTAGCTACATATCTGAAATGCATGATTATCTTCCTGCCTGCGATAACATCACTTCGAATGTACAGAGATGTCAAATCGCGGAAACTTAGCATTGTTGAGCCTGGATAGTTTCTTGCATTGGGTGACCACCATGCATAGCAGGTGCTGTAGGCAGCCGTGGGTCTACTCGGTGGGCAGCAGAGGGCAACTGCGGTAACCACGCTTCGACAGCGAGTAAAGTCCGAACACTTTGTTATCGCTCCCTCTTTGAGTCTGGTCCATCGCGAATGCGCGCCGGTAACACACGGCAAGCTCTTTGGGAAGGACGGCATTGAAAGCTTGTTTACAAAAGTGGCTCATAGACTCGAGGATGTGGATCTCGAACATCTGCCGCCGGCGACCGGCTCCCTGACACTGCACTGCCGCTGGACGTATCGAGCCGCACAACAACACAACGGATATTCCCTGGCAGCGCCCCTCACATTCATCCCGCTGCTTTGCTTGCAATATCTTATGAGATGGGGCACATTCAGGGAGATAGATGGCCGCAAGGCAAAATTCATCTTGTCGTCGTCCCATTAGGAACCGTGGGCCCGCGCCCATTGACACCTGCACCGCATCGCGCGACACTTTCAGATGCGCTTCTGCGGCCGTCTGGAATGCTCTTCCTTCCGATATTAGGAAGCCACTGGGCGCTGTGCACTTTTAAATACTCGATATTGCTTTTTGCGTTTAGATTGTTGTCCTTCCCCCGCACCTCCGATTGGCACGGTTGGCAACGTACGGTGTGAAAGAAGTTCAATGTGCTTACGCACGTACATGCACACCAGTGAATCCCTTTAAGTCTTCTGAAGCTACCCCATACCCAGCGCACGCAGGAGCACCACTTAGACACATTCACCCTTTAGGCTGCAGGAAATGAGTGCATCGGCGCCGGTAGAAAGCCTCGCTCCAGAATGGCTCGGCAATTCAAACACAAGGTGCAAGTCATTTAAAGCACAAGTATTAGCCTTTGGACAGAAATCGAACGAGTAAACAATGTTGGCTGTAATTGCCCTCGCGCACCGTTTCACGAGTCAGACCAGGGGGCCCACTCGATGTTTGCTCGTTTTTTTTTTTAACAAACAGTTCCCGGCACTTTTTGTGAACGCACGGCAAGGGGCGGGGGGGGTGAAGCGAGAATTGTGCAGAGTGGTGGCAGGGGGGGGGGGGGTTGCTATACCCCCCCCGGGATAAATATCAGGTGATTGTACGATTTTGAGACATTTTGTGTCGAGCTGGACTTCTGCTATGCTGACTCCAAGTGGCATATTATAAGATCATGCTTAAAAATAAAACCGCGCCATTGTCAAGGTGGCAGGGAATGACAGGTCTGAAAGTGGCAATTTTGACTCGGGGAAGGGGGGAAATTACGTGCAAGTGAGTATGGGGCGTGTGCGGTATGTGGCTGCAGTGCGGAGCGGTGGCGCAGCGGTTAGCGCACTGCGCTACGGATCCCGAGTTCCAGTCCCGCTCACGGCCAATTATTAATAGCTGCGAATGTTTGAACCGGTCTGGGGCCCTCCCCCAGGTCGACTGAGCCATACATGAGTACCTGGTGCAGTGTGTAAGCATCAGCACTTGGGGAGACAAAGGCAGCCAGCAATAGAGTTGTCCACACCACTGTCTAATGTGTTGTGTCCGCCTCAATCGGTGCTTGCTAACAATGCTTGCTTCATCATGTTCATGAAGGAGTGGCGAGGTGTGGTAGCGTCATGCTTCATTTCACCACGATGTGAACCCAACTATCGATTCCTAGCCTCGCACATCATTGTCAAGTGTTGCCAATAGATGTCGTGTACTTCTCCAATGTTCGCTCGGCCATAAGTGAGCACCGGTGTGATGCGAGCACCACCGCTGGCGATTCTTGTGTTTGATTTGTATGTGGAAGACTGTTGCCGAAGTGTGTGTGTAGTGCTATATTCCCAGTAACCATGGTTCGAAACCTGGGCATGATGCACAGCCATCGCTCGTGTCGAATGATGAATAAATCTCACCCAAGGGTCCCTTCGGTCAAATCACGATGACTTCGATATCCGTAACAGAGAGAAAAAATCAAAGGCTGCCGGGAGCCTGCAATGCTCACAATATTACGGTCTGCCATGCAAGTGTCAGCATTGTGGACCTTCACAGGTTTTCGCTAAACACGGTGTGCTCCGACCCGTCTAATTAATACCATTCAGAGCTGTCGCAATCGATTGCTCGTTCGAAGGTTCTCTTTAAAAAAATAATCCGTCGACGTTCGGCAGCACCGGTGTTGGGAAACGGAGACCCCATGCTGCATCTGCTGGCTCATGACACGCGGTGGTGGTTTGCATGGCTAGCCCATCGTGCCTGCACACTCGTGGCAACACAACGTATGCACGTGCGTACGCGTGTTGAACTTCTTTCGCACCGTACGTAGCCAACCTGTGCTAATCGGAGGTGTTGTGCAGGGTGGTACGGGAAGGACAAATTGAACACAAAAAGCAGTTCTGAAGAAATGGGTTTTCAATCGAGGTTTAGATGAGGACCTCCTTATGTATTGCAGGTCACGGGGGTTATTTAAGCTTGCATCATCATGCTACAAATCCAGTGATCCTAGTTCAATTCCCCAGCCATAGCTAACATCAGTGGCGAATATCTGTACGAGTCTTGAGCCTCCCCAAGGTCGACTCAGTCTTGAATAAGTAGCCGCTGTACTTGTGTAAAGTTCAGCAAAGTTCACTGACCCCGGAACGACTCGCCCATAGCGCCCGCACACTCGTGGCGAAACAACGTATGCACGTACGTACAGTATATACGTACGCGTGGTGAACTTCTTTTGCACCGTACGTAGCCAACCTGCGCCAATCGGAGGTTTGCGGAAATAAACAACAACACAACAAGCAGTGCCTGAAGAAGTTAGTTTTCAATCTATTGGATAAAAACACGCGGGTTCGAGTTGCCGTCTGGGTCCCGCGCTTCCTATTAGCACGGTTGGCTCAGTCGGGTGCGAACGAAGCTCAGCACACACGTGTACACAGGCGCTCTTGAAGATGTGAGTCGTGTGCCAAAAGTGTCACGTCTGCAGGTGCATTCGCGGACGTATTTAGCGAGCGGCTTGCCCCGGGATTCCTTCCGTAATGACTCGTGGTATAAACCCATTCGTCGAACGTGGCTTTGGGGGCACCCCTCGGAGGTGTTGGGCTAATGATTAGTACTGAGCCAGCAGCCCTGAGATTGTTCCTCTCAAGCCAGAGGGAGAGAGACCCCCGCCGCCAACCTTTGAGGCTTGCGTTGTAAACCGTAAATAATCACCACTGGGTGCGCAATTAATGTAACAACAACAACGGAAATAAATAAACGCACTCATAATTTGCATTTAAAGTTTGATCGATCTCTGCTCGGTGTTGCGCGGTGACGCGTCCGTGGCTTGCTGCAGAGGTTCGCGGTTCGAGTCGAGCAGCCGCCCTGATTAATGCTGGCCAACAGTGCGCGTGATTCACACTGGATGTTAACGATCGCGCGATGTCGTTCTAAAATAGGCCACGTGTGTGCCACTTGCCACGGGCCGAATTTTTTTGCTCGTTTACAATGTTTTCGTTACTTGCTTATTACTTATTTCGGTAAAACCACATAGGTACCTCACTCTTTGTTGTAGCCTATTATCCCCCCCTCCCCTCCCCTCCCCCCACATCTTTGTGTGCGTTTTTGCTGCTGTTGGTCTAAAATCTAGATCTTACTTGCACATGGACCTCGACGTTTTTAATGTAATTCATTTCCACTGGTCTTTTTTTCGTAATAGTTTGCGTGTGTCTCATGTACGACCGTTAAACACTTCGTTCGTTAGTTGTGCAATACTCCTCAAGGGCTCCGTTACTTGTTCTCCGCATCATGGAAGTTTTTTAAAATCTTTGTTTTGTTGTTCCCGCCGCTGTGCGAATGCACCACGGATCTCTCCCGTGTAAAATAGCCGGGCAAATTGTCGAAGAGAAGCATCCCGCGTTAGCAATTCACCTTCAGCATAGCAACATTGTTTCCCCCACTAGGCAGACCTACATAGCCTTCTGTGGTAAAAGCTCCCTCTACAATTGCTTCGCGCTAAATAATCCACGCAAACAACGGAACGTGCGCGGCATCGTTTTATTACATAGTGTAACAACAAAATATTTTTTTTGTTCCTGGATAGTAAGTGTTATTTTCAAATTGCTTATGCCTCAAAAGTGCAGAAAATGTCTATTATTTCCCACAAACTTTGCTCTTGTGACCAAGACACAAACGCAAAGTTAATAATCCACTCCATTAATAACACTGTGTAACACATTTATTTATTATTTGCTCTTGGATAGTAAGTGTTATTTTCAAATTGCTTATGCCTCAAAAGTGCAGAAAATGTCTATTATTTCCCACAAACTTTGCTCTTGTGACCAAGACACAAACGCAAAGTTAATAATCCACTCCATTAATAACACTGTGTAACAAATTTATTTATTATTTGTTCTTGGATAGTAAGTGTTATTTTCAAATTGCTAATGCCTCAAAAGTGCAGAAAATGTCTATTATTTCCCACAAACTTTGCTCTTGTGACCAAGACACAAACGCAACGTTAATAATCCACTCCATTAATAACACCGTGTAACAAATTTATTTATTATTTGTTCTTGGATAGTAAGTGTTATTTTCAAATTGCTTATGCCTCAAAAGTGCAGAAAATGTCTATTATTTCCCACAAACTTTGCTCTTGTGACCAAGACACAAACGCAAAGTTAACAATCCACTCCATTAATAACACCGTGTAACAAATTTATTTATTATTTGTTCTTGGGTAGTAAGTGTTATTTCCTAATTGCCTATACCTCAAAAGTGCAGAAAATGCTATTATTCTCCACAAACTTTGGTTTTGTGACTAGGACAGTGATATTTTGAAATGTACCTATTTTCAATGAGAAAACGTGGTGTGCATTTGTGTGTTTCCTTCACGTAAAGTCCTGGTCACAAAAGCAAAGTTTGTGGGGAATAATATCCATTTTCTATACTTTTTAAGCATAAGCAATTACGAAATAACACTTCTTACCCAGGAACAAAAATCGTGTTACATAGCGATGTATCACGATTCAGGGAGATCAGTGGAAATTTCCCCGTCCGAACGTCTGAAGAAAGGATGATGCTGTAACAGAGGTAAAGTGAGACCCCCACATTTTGGGCGACATTCAGCTCCGGCTTACCAAGTCCCTGCGCATTACCGTGGAGGCAGACGTGAGGTACAAACGATCGCAAGTGGCGTCCTCGATCATCGAATTCTCTGTCCGTGCTAAGCGGGTGCCCCGCGGTGGCGAGATGTTAACTACCTCGCCTGGTATGCAGGAGGTCGTAGGTTTCATCCCGACCCTGACGATGTCTGTATATTTGGAGTTTGCGTGTTCTCCCTGTGGCCACGTAGATTTTTCTCCGAGTCCTCCAGTATTTTCCCCACCCAATTTTATACACACCCTTTATAGTATTTGGCTGCTATCAATTTTACACATTGATAAGCTATGTCGCTGAGGTGTCATTTGTGGCCAGGTCGCTTCTGAAAAAGCGCTATATAAGCTTAGTGAGCCAACCAGTATATATACAAGGACTGTTTTCTTGGAATTTCTCTTACTTGAAACAGCAATCGCGCTGTGACTGTTCCACCTGAAGACGGAAGCTTGTGTTGCCTCCGAAACGTCGTGATTGTCATTTAATTTTTTATTTTATTAATTTTATTTTTTTTACCTACGTGACTTTACCGAAAAAAACCTAAGAATATGAATCCTTGCAGTCACGAAAGCTTCAAATCTAGAAAAAATATATTAGTTCGTTTACCACCATGCATGCCAAATTATGGGTAACACTATTCTCACCCACGACGTTCCACCTCTCCCTTTCCTGCCTCGCAACATTCCCCGCGCACTCAACTGGACGCGCGAGGTTTTTCCCATCGCAACCCGCCGGCGGAAATCGCGAGCGATTCGATTGCAGCAGCTCAGGCTGATAATCTATCGGCTGCCAGGTTAACCCTTTCGCGAACCCGACCCTAGCCCCTCGTCATCTCCGACCTAGCCTTGTTATTCTATTTTCGTTACTCGTGCCGGGCTTGAACCTGGGTCAGTGTGTTGGGGGGGGGGATCAGCAGTTCGCTTCATCTCAGCGCCAGTGCCTCGAGTGGCACCCCCGCCCCATTCCCTCCACCAGCCAGAGCCTTGCCGCAAGTCCCCTGTGGCCAGCGTAACTGGTAATCACAATTCTGCATGTGCCTCCAGGCAGTGAAACCAGGTTTTATTACGATGATGATGATGGATTATGATGAATTGCCTCGCAACCGCTGGGAAGGTAGTGTGAGTTGCTGTTGGTGAATTATTGCACGTGTAAGGCATTTTGCCTAATTGAGTGGTATGGACGCCTTTGCAGGATCATGTATGTTTGTTTAAGAGCGGAAGGCTACGGTAATATTTTTGTTCCATTCCGTAATTACATTTTTAAATAACGGTACCATATTTACAAAAAAAACGTAAGTTCCTTAATGCCAATAATCCCCGGAATGCTTTAGGCAAAAGCAAAATTAATAAATATGATGATAATTTACTCGTGTTTATTTTTACTTTGGTTATGTAATTAATTGGTTAAGACATTTTTTTATTGCACAGTTCAAAGCACATGTTATACTAAAATAATGCGTCATGCATTACATAAATTGATGCTTGACAAAGGTTTGTAATAATTAAAAATTAATTATAAAGCAACCCTGTTATGGCATGATATTTGTAATTTGTTAGATTTTTTAATATTAAAAGATCATTAATCTTCATAATCAACTTACATTTGTAATTCTTGAAAGTTATTTGTTTACGTGACAAACCTCACTCATTGGCTGTGTCGGGAGGCAGCGGGTTTCACGATACATTTATATTCACGCCCTCGAACCCAAAAAACCTCGCGTGGATTCATTTTTTTATTGGGTGCAAATTCTTAACAACAGCCATATCAGACATTTGTACATCAAAACGGTATTATCCATTAGTTGACTGCAGCTCAAAGACTCTGTCCCTCAAGGCGTGTGGTGAAGTTAGGAGATGTCCATGTGTGTGCTCGGCATTTGGAGGCCTGGAGACCAGCATCTGTGATTTCGCTTTCGTTGTGTTCAGGGAGGCAGCTCCATATCCGGACAGCAAAGTGACGGTCCGTGGAATATGTTCTGGCAACTGTGGGGAGCAAGGGCGCAATTTGATGATAACTGCGTTTGTGATATATTTTAGATTTTTTTTGCGTGTATAAAAATACAAACATTGCAACAAATATAATACCCTGTTAATTTAACGAGCGTTATTTATTATTATTTAAGCTCTCTCTCTCTCCCGTGGTTTTAAACTTATATGTAAATCTTCAGTGAGGTGAATCATGATGATGATGACGGAAATGATATTCGTTATTTTCTAGGTGGATTTTTAAAGATGAGCTACATTTACATATATGATAAAACGTATGATAATTCAATAATGTATATTTGCTGATTATGATTAGTTTTACTTATTTACGTGTATTTATTGATGATGAAGACTATGATGACTGTCGTTTGTGTGTTGACGATAATGATATTTGGTATTTATGATGATTGAGTTTAGTCATTTGTGATATTTATATATATATTTTGCGATTTAGATGACGATAACAAATGATGGGTATGATGACTTTATATTGATGATCATTACCATCCACACTCTAAGCTCATCCCCGCAAAATGTCCAATGCCAACGTCGTCCAGAATTCACTGAAAACGTGTTTGATGATCCACGTATGTTGAACTTCTTTCGCACCGTACGTCACCAACCATGCTAATCGGAGGTGCGGGAGAATAATGATGATGATGAGGATTTTTGCAGATTTTTTTGCACAAGTTTGTCAACTTTCGATTTAAAGCTTTCGTGACTGCAGGGATTCATCTTCTTGGTTCTTTCGGTAAAGTCACGTAGAAGGGAAGTAATAAAATAATAAAAATAAAACGTAATAAAATAAAATTTTATTACGTTTTATTTTTAAAATAATAAAAATAAAACGTAATAAAATAATTTTTTATTACGTTTTATTAAAATTTTATTACGTTTTATTTTTAAAATAATAAAAATAAAACGTAATAAAATTATTTTTTATTACGTTTTATTTTTATTCTTTTATTACTTCCCTTCTACGTGACTTTACCGAAAGAACCAAGAAGAAGTTTGTCAACCTTTTTGACTGACGATGATCATACTGACTAAGACGATCCCCACTCCAGGTTCGGAGTTGATGCCCAAGGCCCTGTCGACGCGCATTGTGGGCGGCATCTGGTGGTTCTTCACCCTCATCATCATCTCGTCCTACACGGCCAACCTGGCCGCCTTCCTCACCGTCGAGCGCATGGAGTCGCCCATCAGCTCCGCCGACGACCTCGCCAAGCAGACGCGCATCGAGTACGGGGCCGTGCGTGACGGATCCACCATGACCTTCTTCAAGGTGCGCGCGTGCGTTGTGCGTGCGTTGTGCGTGCGTTGTGCGTGCGTTGTGCGGCATTGTGCGTGTGTTGTGTGTCATTGTGCAGCATTGTGCGTGCATCGTGCGGCATCATGCGGCATTGTGCGTGCGTTGTGCGGCATTGTGCGTGCATTGTGCGTGCGTTGTGCGTGCATTGTGCGTGCGTTGTGCGGCATTGTGCGTGTGTTGTGTGTCATTGTGCAGCATTGTGCGTGCATCGTGCGGCATCATGCGGCATTGTGCGTGCATTGTGCGTACGTATTTTGAAATTATTTCGCACCGCACGTAGCCAACCGTGCTAATCGGAGGTGCGGGGGAAGGACAACAAACTAAACGCAAAAAGCAGTTTTAACGAAATCAGTTTTCAATCCAGATTTAAAAGTGCGTAGCTCTCAGTGGCTTCCTAATATCGGAAGGAGGAGCGTTCCAGACGTCCGCAGAAGCGCATCTGAAACTGCAGCGCGAAGCGGCGACCGTCTTTGTTCGATGGCTATTCCAAAAGCCGCTGCGAGGATGACCGGAGTTTCACGTGATCATTTATGCTGTTTGACGAACATTCTGCGTGCTTAGCGACCTTCTTGAAAGTGTGTGACCAGAGCTTTTCTCTTGTGGCACAGGCTGGTAGCTTCCTTCAAGCAACAATATTGAGAAATGGTGAAGTTGATGGTCACGACAATGAGCAGAGCATCGGGTGAACAATAGACAGAAGGGGGGGGGGGGGTAGGGGAGTAAAGTGGTGCACCGACCAGCCACTCTGGCGTGGCCTGCTCCATTGGGTGGAGAAGTACCAGCACCTTAACCCCGCCGTGAGATAATTGTATTTGAGCCCACAGCAAATGGAGGTACGCCACTTTGTCAAGATGTTAGCTTCCTCGCCTGGTATACAGGATGTTGTGGGTTCGATTCCAACCCTGACGCCTGCTGTATGTTTGGAGTTTGCATGTTTTCCCCGTGGTTGCGTGGATTTCCATCCCATTCCTCAGATTTTCCCCTCCGCATTTCGAGTATTTTGGTGATATAAATGTCCACATGATAAGCCACTTCGTTGAGCTATCATTTGTGGTCGCCAGGTCACTCCTCAAAAAGAGCTATATAGCTCAGTGAGCTTTACCTGATAAAATGAAAAAAAAAATCTGCTTCGTTAAAGTATTTTATGTCCAGCAATACCTCGGTTTACGTCGGGGATGCGTGCCTGAAAGGTGCGACAACGAATATCGAAACGACATAAATTAAAGCGACTTACAGGGTTCGGTGGAGGCGACGGATACTAGAAAGGACGGACGATGCCGTCAGCGATGCAAGTGTGGGTCGACGCAGCGCAAGTCAGGTCGCCGTGTCAATAATAAAGTGACGACGCATTTGCAAAACTATGCAAACGGGGGAGACGTGAATCGGGGTATTTCTGTACCGCGAATGAAGCTGTGAACAAAATTTTCGACCTACCAGCTCGAACCTACACATGCTGGCCTGCGCAGAGCACTGACTAGCTCTTATTCAACATGCTTTGACGTGGAATGCACAAATGGTTGGAACGGTTTCATCGAGGGCCACAGTCGGCCATCCCTGATTGCATGGGAGCATCTCGACCATGGTCACAAGTAGTACTAATTGCATATCTGCATTTCTCACAAATATGCTAAATTCCTCTTGATATGCAAACTATTTTGTCAAGGCGCCCTTCTCCCTCCATCCCAGCTTAAATAGACGCTCCAAGCCTGGGGTTTGTCATTCAGACGCTGTCTTCTCGACAGACCTGTTCTTCACCTGAGGACGGCTGCTTGCGTTGTGGCCGAAACGTCGTGAGAATTATTTTATTATGTTTTATTTTTATTATTTTATTATTTTCCTTCTACGTGACTTTACCGAAAGAACCAAGAAGACGTGTCAGAGCTGTCCTCGTGTAGGTGTTACGAGCCTAACAATATTGCCAAAACGCGGAAATCCATCTGGGGCCTTTTCAAAAGCGTCCGAATAAACCACAGCCGATAGATTAACGTGTAGCATCCTTCACCTGATGCTGCAAGGGCACGCCGGGAGAAGGACTGGGATGTATACGGGGGGAAGGGGGGGGGGGTGGCGCAGGCACTCGCCAAAATCGCCGAGCCTAAATCGTAAGCCGAGCGAGCGTTGTTATTGGGTGCAATTTTACCCTCGCCGATGTCCCTTCCGTTTCTGTTGAGCCAATTTTTATGATTTTGTTGTTGTTGTTGAAACAAGGCAAGAGAGCTTTGGCAATGTCCCTTTTAAAATGAGCCCTGGGGCTAAAGAGGTAGCCCTCTGCTAATATTTCTGTCAATAAAAGGCGAGCGCATTGTTTTGACCCACGACGGTTGTCCTGTGTTCGTACGGAGCGACAGCGTACTGACGACGCAGTCTGTTCTATCCCCCGCCACAACGGAGGCACCCCCCCCCCTCCCCACACCCCCACGACTTCAACAGCGACACTTGACGCTCTCAAGCGGCAGCAAGACAAGCTCGAAGATGATAGACAAAGAGGAGGTGGGAGAACAGGACGGGTCGTTGTGTCTGTCAGAGATTTCGCATGCCAGAAGGAGGGTCTGGCCAAGAGCGAATCGACAAATGGTGGAGCGAGTTTCAAGCATGCGCCGCCAGTAACCCCGCAATTAACCCTTGGCCTAGGCTTTCACTCACCGATGTAAAGTACATCTGGTGATTGTGTTTCGCAAGCAATAATAATTGTAACGATAAAAATGCGATGATGCGCGGGCCCGAATCTAGATGCAGGCCAACTCTCGATGCGCTATTGAATAGCAGCGCAGTTCAAGGATCCTTCCCGCAGTTGTCGAAATATTAGTATTCGTATTTCTGTTTCTACTACTATTTGTACTTGGCCCAGGTAAGGCCCCCTGAGCTATATAGCTTTTTGTCAGAAGCGACCTGGCCACAAGTGTCATTTTCGCGAAGTGACTTATCACGTGGACACTTATGGCAGCCAAATACTCTAAATGCTTGTTCCTAAATGTGGAGGGAAAAACTGGAGGACCCGGAGAAAAATCCACGCGACCACAGGGAGAACGTGCAAACTCCAAATATACAGCAGGCGTCAGGGTCGGGATTGAGCCCACGACGTCCTGTAGACCAGGTGAGGTAGTTAACATCTCGCCACCATGGCGCCCAACAATCCCAGCATGAGTACTGAGGTTATATGTGTCGCCACCCATTTTGAAATCTACTCGAGAGTACAAGCCTTGAGGACTTCATCGCCCACCGGCCTAGTGAGCAGGGCTTTGCGTGCCGTCATTAACCCGTACCCTGGCCCAATGCTCACCGATGAAACAATTACACCCGTCGTAGTGTAGCCTTCAATTATGAGCTGAACAATATGTCCAATAATCACGTCTCCTGTATCCAATCCTTCTACCCCGCCCCCTTCCCCGTGTGGTGCACCACTGTTAGAAATGTTATCTCCCTTGCCGGGAATGCAGGTGATCGTGGATTCCATCCCGACTCTGACGCCTGGACAATTGAAGTGTGTGTGTTCTCCCCGTGGTGGCCGTGTGGAATTTTCTCCGAGTCCCTCCGATGTTGCCCCCCGCCCCCAACTCTCCACATTTAGAATCAACAACGTGCATTTCGATTATTTGGCTGCTGCAATGAATTCCCACGTGTGACGACGATATCAGCCACTTCTGTGAGCTATCACACGTGGCCAGGTCACCTCTGAAAACAGAGCTCAGAGCTCAGTGGACTTTATCTGATTTAAAAAATATATATAGTTTTACTTTTAGTTTTATTCACACGCCCACATTTGGAACGGTTCCTGCAATGCTGCAATACTCGTAATAATATAAAATATTTACAACCCTTTGTTGGGGTGGAGCGGAGGCGCGGTGGTTAGAGCAATTGCACCCATGAATCTGGCGAGTTTGGTTTCCAACTGCGGCTAATATTGGTGACGAGTAATATCTGAATGGATTCAAGCCGTGCTGGCGATGACGTGTGGTTCGATGATCCCCGTGACTGATATGTCATGGGAGGCCATCATGCAGCAGTGGATTGACAAAGCGGCTGGTATCAAAATATTTTTTTGGGTTGGACAACCAGCGTGCGGAAACACATGCTGTAGGTTGCTCTAAGGCTGTGTCGTTGTACTGTACTTTCATCCATTATCTATGCTTCCCACCTTGACCAATATCCTACATTGGCCCGCATGGTGAAATGTCTTCAATTACCTCCTTGATCCACACAGCCTTGGATTGACAAAGGGCTGTAAATTAAATAATCAGTCACGTGACTTTCTTAGTCCACTGCTAGATGAAGGCCTCCAGGTCAGTCACAGGGGGTGTTGACTGACCCTACTTCCCCCACCCCGATCGGTGCCAGTTGATGAAGTGACGCCCTCACTCACGGTTGATGCGAGCTACGGCTGGGAATTGAACCGACGTGGCCAGGTTCATAGTGCAGTGCTCCATCGCCGTGGGGCTGTTGTTACATCTGCGCGTGGTTTTTTTTAGTGCACGGGGAAGTCATCGAGAAGCGAGGCGTGGGGGGTGCCGTCTCTGGCGAGAGGCGGCGCACGAGTAAAAAATTAACCCGTAAAAACAAAGTTTTTCACTATAAATCATTTAAATGCGTGGCATCGGTTTTATTTTATTATTCATTTTTGTTTTTCTTGAGTAAGAGTTTCATTTTTATCACATTGGTATTTTAAATTAAATATGAAAAAAAAAATTCCTAAAAAGTGGAGAATTTTTGAAAAAAATTTCACGAAAATAAATTGTCACGCACAACGAGTCTGTGTGCACAATGTCAGCTTGATTGGATCACGGGAAGTGGGTTAAAGAACGACCGAATGATTTGCACGGTCGTAAGCGCGCAAGAAAGCAAGCAAGTGAACTTAATATAAAGGATTTAAAAATAAAAACTCCACGCAATGGAACGCGTCCGCGAGACTAAACGACGCTCGATTCCTAACACCTCTCGCGGGGGCGATGCTCGGGCGACAGTCGCGTTGGTAAATC